TTTTGTAAGAAGTTTTTTTGAAAAAATGTAAGTAACTTTAGGTTTAATTGATAAATATAAGTATTTTACTCACTATCATCATCTCTAAATGTATTGGTACAAATAATTTAATTCATACTTTTTATAGGTTGCGTTTCTTTTATCTAAATCCAGAATATTTTAAAATCAATAATTCTGAAGCTCAGATTCTTAGAAATCTGTACAGTTCAATTATCACAGATTTGTTTTTTGATTCTGGAAGATACAATGTAAATTCACAAGTGTAAGCTTTACATGTACATATTTATATATTTTTTACTTTCTTATTAAATGTGTTAATATAAAATACATACATTTTTAATAAGTGAACTAAATGCCAATAAGGAAAGAAGAAACAAGGATACAACCATAAATGATAAAATAGTTTTAGCTTTAGTACCAGATATTAAAGTTGGGTACAAAAAAAGGGATCTAGAAATATTAATATTGGAACTTAAGAAGTGTCAAGTTAGCAGCGAGCTAAGAAACAAATTATCAGATAAATTAAAAATAGCAACACTTCTCCATGATATGTTGAGGTCAATATATTTAATACTTCCAGAGGAAAACAAGCACTTAATATCAAAAATAAATGTTTATGGAATGTTAATATCTGGTAAGATATATTTCTTGCACATTTTTACCTATAAATTAAAAAAAGCATTACCATAATTTTCACCTAAAAAATTGTTTGTTTTCTGAAAATCTTTTATAGGAACAAAAATAAAGATATATCAAATGAATTTGCCATTTCAACAACTCTACATATTAGATATGATATCAGAATTTTCATTACCACAAATTATTAATGATTTTGATTTAATGTATAATGCAACAGTAAATTTTATAAAATTAAGAGTAAGTATAATAACAGTAGAATACTTCTAGTTTTAACAATTCTTTAATTAATCATATTATAACCTTTTCTAGAATTTACTTGATGAAAACTTTGACAAATTAATAGAAGCATTAAATGTTATATCACAACCAAAATCAACTTCAACCAATGAAATATCATCAACACCTTCTCAAGTCATATCTTCAGATATGTATAATGGTAATGAAAATTGGATATTTGACATTGACATATCACCAAAACCACCCAAAAGAGTTACTAATATTATAATGAGAAAAAATTAAAAAAATTAAAAAAAATATGAATGATTATTACTATTATATGATAATATTTTATTTTTATTCTAGCATGTTAATTAATTAATATTCATCATTTACTTATTTACTTTTGATTTTATTTAACAAAAGGAATAGATTTGATTTGAAAATTTACTTTATATTAATTAAACATGACATTGTTAATATATATATATATATATAATACTTGGTAGAACACTTGATTTGTTAATTATTATTATGCAATAATAATTATTTACATATGCTTCTAAGTTTCATAGAATTTGAATGAATAAATAAAAAAAGCTTTGATTAAAAATTTTTCTTTGATGATCATGAAATTTCAGACATGAAATTTTTTTACTTCTAATATTTAGTTGGACACCTATTGCTCTCTATACAAGACTGAATTCTTCAAGGCATTCTTTCAATCAAATTCATTAAAATATTCTCTTTTAAAGCTACCTTGAATTCTTTTAGTTTACTAAGAGAAATAAATAATTTTAATTTATATATATATTTTAAAGATTAAAAAATAACCACCAAAGCAATCCATCAATGTGCATTACCTATTTGTTGGTTGCTCTGACCTAGATCTATTTTATCATTATTACTATTAAAATATTAGATTAGTATTTTCTTTTGTCATCACTTTTTTTTTTACTTTTTTCTCTATTAACTCATTCTTGGATTGTTTCTTTCTAGAACATTACTGAAGTAGTTTCAAAATATTATGAGCCAACTGATGAAGAAATAAAAACAGATAAAATAATTGAAAAGATGAATTTATTAAGCAATTAAGAAATGAAGAGAGAAATAGCACAATAATTAAAATTATTGAAGTTATTGAAGATTGAAAGCAAAAAACTAAAGAGGCAAGAGTAGATGCTGAAACTCACCTTGAAGTGACCCAAGAATGAAAGGAAAGACAATTAGCTGAGCAATTAGAAACAATTAAGAACTAGAAAATACAAGGTATTCTTTTGGCCTTACAAGATAAGGGAAGTGAATTGCAAGTAAACCAACAAGAAGTAAACCAACAGGCCCAAAAGATTCAGCAACTAATTATATTTAGCCAATAAGCCTTTTCCATTATTAACAAGAAAAGAAAGCAAATTGCAAAAAATTACAAAAAGATAATTGATAAAATTCACCTAAAAGGAAACAAGTAAAACCCAAGGAATTCAGATCAAACAATACTAATTCTTTTTTATCAAGCTTATTTTTAACTTCTTTGATCTTTAAAAGGTAATATATTCATTCTATTATTATAAGTTAGGCAGCAAATTATTTCTCTACTGATTTTCTTTTCTTCCTAGGTTCTGTGCTAATGTTCTTTTATTAGTTATGATTTTTCTTTCTTGGTAAATTTCATAAGTAATCCTTTCTTTTCTTAGATAAGTTTCTAGTGTCTGATTATCATTTATTTTGAGCAATTGTTTCACCTTGTTCTTTTTTTAGAATACTTCTAATGGTGCTATAATTCTTAGGTTCCATGGTAGATCTGATATAAATGAGTTTCATATCAACTATTTTTATATAGGAGTGGACGGTTAAATTATAATTACAATGCAATTGTGATGACTAAATTTTGAACCCTGAATCCTTGGTAACACTAATGTTCACTTTGTCTTGTTTTGTTGCAGTATGCCCCATTTAAGCATCATAATTATTATGAAAACAATTTGAATCTCATGAATAATCATTTTATTAGAAGAATTTGAAGTAACAAGAAATTCAAAATTTAAAATTTTTTTTTTCTTTTGTTATAATAATCTTATTTACAAGATTACAACAAATCAATAAATAACTATATAACATAATATTATTAGAAAAGATATATAGCAAAAAAAATTTTTCATTTTTCATGTTAATAAAAATTTAACATTTTCATAATACAATAATAAAGGATTTTCTCCACTTGAAGTTTTAGTTTTGTTTAAATCTGCATATCTTTCCATAAAATTTTTATGTGTCAAGATTTTAACTTTTTCATCCAATGATGACTTTGATGAAAAAAACATTAATTGATACAAATCTTTTAACAGCTCAAAATTTATTGGGAAAATAATATCAAAATATCCAGGTTTAACCAAATAAGTTGAACATGGAATCATGGTTTGTTGAAATCTTGTTTGAACAGCTGGTGCATTATCTCCTATTCCACCACCACCTTGTTGTAAAATTGAATTTGTTAACTTGTAAAAATCTGTTATGATTAATCGATGTTTTGGAAAATAATGTTTTAATACAATTAGGAATTGTAATAGTTTTGTTGGTATGAATTCTGATTGTGTCATATTATAGGCAAGTGGTAATTTGTTACGAAGTTTTCTTAATAGACGGTTTTGTAGTATTGGTGACTTGTAAGAAGTTTGATTCCTTATTGAGAGGAGTTTACTGATTAATGGATCATTAATTGGTTCATAAACTTCTTCAAAATCCCCCTCATTATCTATTATCACTACACCTTGTAATGGTTTCTCATTAATTGCATCATATCTAATTACATCATGAGCAAAATTATCCTACATAAATTTTTTTTTTTTTTTTAAGAAAATTTGAAAATTAATTTAGTTGAAAATCAAATCAAATCAAATCAAATCAAATAATTCAAATTTTATTATTGTACATACCAACACTTCACAAGCCAAGAAAAAACAATTTTCATTAACAACTTCACACCAATCAAAAATATTTTTATTAATAATCTCTATACAATCATGATGATTATTTAATGTTTTTGCTGCTGCATCTTTTCCACCACTACTACCAAGAAAACCCACTCTTTGATTTTTATTATTTTTACTTTTTTGCATTTCAGCAGCCAATCTATGACTGATTTCCACAACTCTATATTTAGTTTTTTTATAAATTGCTGGTTCAAATTTCTGTAAATAATCCAATATATTTAACATTAATGTTCCATTACCAGCTCCTAATTCATAAATTATTAAGTCATTTTGAGGATTTAGATTATATTCTGTTGCTATATATTTTGCTATTGAGTAACCATACCATGGCTATATAAAAAGAAATCATATAAAAGGAAAAAAATAAATATAAAAGATTAATAATCATGATATATATTTTTTTAATTTTAATTAATTACCTTGAATAATTCAGTAGGGGTATGCCAAATTTGTCTAAGAAATTGTTTATCTTCTTTCTCTAAATTATTTTCGAATTCTTGATACTGTTTACCAACAACATTTAAAAATTCCAAATTATCTTTTATTTCATTAAATTTAACAACATTATCATCTGAAGTTGAAAAAATTGCAACGTTTTTTGAAAAATATCCATAATTCGGATTGTATAATGAATCATCAATAAAATCTCTGACTAACATTGTGCATGACTTTGGTGGTTCTTTATAATTTAGAGTGTCATAGGATGTCAAACGTGGAATATTGAATCGATTTTTTTGATTTGGTGTATATGTTGGTAATGAGGAGGAGGAGGCATGGGTACAAAAGGTAAATTTCTTAGAAATTTTTTTATAAGAAATATCTAAGAAATTTGGTGAATTTCTTAAATATTTTTTGATGGACATTTTTATAAATAAACCTTTAGAAAATCATTATTTTTTATATTAGAAATTTTCTTATGAGAAATCCCTAAGAAATGTTTAAATATTTTTCATTAGACATTTTTTTATACAAAAAATAAAAATTTTTTAGATATTTCTAAGCATTTTTTTTTAGTGGGTACTTTTTATAATAAAATCCTTATTGCAAAATATACTATTTAATTATAGCGCATATATATAACAATAATTCATTTTTATTAAAGATTAAATTTTTCTATTTAAAGAAATTACCACAGTAGAAGGAATTTATGTCCAGGAAGAATATAACTTCCTTTTACAAATTTATTAAAAGTTCTTTGTAGTGGAAGAATGCTTTCTAAAGTTAATGTTTTATTTAACTATCCCAAAGTTCCACATTATACATTTTTTTTAAAAGTATCTTCCTGTAATCCCGATTCTATATAGAACCAATCTCTCTCTTTATGTGATTTAAATCAACAAAGAGTATGTTCTGTTATCCCCAAGGAAACTTTACAGAATGCTTAAAATAATAATTAACTACTCCTGGATAACAAACAACTTCTTTGTTCTCATTTAAAAATTGTGCAATAATATAATATAAGCATTGGGATCTGATTTACAACCTACTGATGAAAATATTTCATCTCCGAGTTTAAGAAATTTTTCTTTTATCTCTTAATTCGTGATACGTGATAGAAATAGATAATAATAGTAATTTCGTCTCGATGGACTATAATTAAATTCGCGTTTCAAAAGATTTTAAAAATCTTTGTTACTATTACTATTACACTATAAAACATATAAAAATCCATTGAAATGCGATTATAATTAGTAATTTCGTTTCAATGGATTTTAAATGAAATTTTCTTATATGTCCAGCCACCCCATTGAAACGAGGGCTATACTGTACAATGGACGTTGTTTTGTTCTTTAAGAAGCTCCTAAATCGGTAAAAGGTAATCTTAAGAAAATATTGAAATTGCTTGTTGTCACAAATAATAGTATGTATATCCAATGAAAATAATACTAATGGTACTAATAGCGGTGATGTTTATGTGGAGATTTGAGCAATAAAAAATGGAAACTAATAATATTCAATTATATTATTCAAGAATAATTAAGAATAAAAAAAATCTATTCAACTTAAAAAAAAATCTCTGATTTTTGTTGTAGCAACATTTTAACCATACATAGTATTTTATGGGCCAGACCAAACCTTGTTGGTCTCAATGGACCCGGCCTATTGCCAATCCTGGGATAATACTCCTTAAATTTGAAGGTGTTTTACCTTCTCAGTTCGTGAAACATGCTTTATCTCTTAACAAAATTGTCAAATATTACATCCTGCATCCAATTTTTATGATAATCACTAACTTTTTAAAAATAATTGATTCTCAATATGATAACCTTGGCACCAAGCAAAGTGTTTCAAATCAATAATATTCAAAAAGATATAAAATATTACATTATAATTGAATACTAATTAATATACTAATTGAAATATTTCTTTATAACATACCAACGCAATTCCTTTCCTAATGCAGTGGCTAGGAAATAAGATAATTCCTGGATAATCTTTAAATTTTGAGCATAGTGGTAAAGAACTCCATCGCATGCAACCACAATCCGTTTTTTCTCTTGCTTATTGATTCCACTAGGTTCTTGTATGTGATCAAGAATCTTACGAACATTGCCAATTGAGTTTGGATTTATTGGCAACAGGTCAGGTACAAGAATATCTGATACACTGACACCTTCACCAGGAACTGATTTTTGTGTTATACTAATGGGACTTGTATTTACGTTTAAAGTCTTTTTTCAATTTGATGGAATTTAATATTTAAAGATGCTGTGATATTTTCTTTGGATGTTTCCTGATTTATTTCTTGTTCTTATTCTGGAAAAAAGCAAGGAGAGGTAAAGTAATATTACATTGAGGACACTTACATTTCGAATTCTCTGTTTCGTCCATACCATATTCACCACACTGTTTTATTTTTCCTGGTTTTGCATTATATTTGGAGATAATCACAAAGCTGTTGGATCAAGTAATTCTTGCATTTCTGGTGCGACGTCATAAAGAGTTTGAATTTGTGACAAATCTAAGGACAAACAATTCGTTTGTAATAAACATTTTCATAATTTAATAATAAAACACTTGTGGTCGGAAATTAAATTAATTCTCCGCCCGCAGTTTATAAAAGTCGCCAAGAGTTTCGCCACATTTTTTTGAAGTTTCGGCTATCATCACTACTTTTTTCCCGCTTTGTAAATTGTTAACGAGCTTGAGCTTTCGTATTTGTAGTTTTTGAAAAATAAAATTTTGTTTTTATTTTCTCAGTTGCTTCAAGTAAGAAGCAATAGTCGAAAAGTTTTGGTAAAAAGCCATTGTTGTGCAATGAACAGTCCTAACATTCGATTCTTTGTACAGGCATTGGCTATATTGTTTAAGATCCATATGTGTATGTTTATGTATGTTATATTTAAATTTTTTTATAGAGTTCATATTATACGTTTACAAATATAAACAAAAATCAGTCGTGATAATCCAATTGGAGCATTCACATTGATTGGTAGAGAGAGAAATTTTCAAAAGAAATTTTGATTATTACTGGAATAGAAAAGTTTCTACTAGAAGCAGAACATTTACATATTGTATGCAACTGATGGTGTGAGTGTTTCTGTCCATCTACAAAAGCCAAAAAAAAATTGAATGTAACCAAATACAGCACAAAAGAATATTATGGAATTTAGAAGAGCATGAGAAAAAAGGAAGTCTGAATGAACCTTGTGGGGTAGAAAGTAAATAAATTCTTTTCCCAAACATTTTTTTTTAATCTGTGCCAAGTTAAAAATAAACTCGTTGAAAAGGTTTGGACAATAACAAGTATACACAAGCCGTTGTCATGTTTTACACACTGATTATGAGTGCTAATGAATTAATTGAATGAATTGGATAATATATTATATAATATTCTAGGTTTGCCAACACCTTCTGTTCCTTCAGTTCATAACTTTCAACTATAGTATTTTCTCTGAAATACTTTTCATGTGGATGATTTACTTGATTCCTATAAAGAAAATCATCAGCAAACAAAATGCAATGGAATGATGAAGAGAAAACTATTGTAGCATTTGGGTAGGTATGCTTATCTTTTTGATACTAATTTTCATTTAAATTTCTATCTGGCACACTGATTTTATTTTGTAATCATGACCATGTCCCCTTTCTCTCCAAGTTCCAAAGATCACTCAGAGTTGAGAAAAGATGTAAAGTAAAAATTATAAATGAGTTTGGAACTAGTTCTAAATGTGAAGTATGCTCTGCTAAGTATGTAAGATTCAATTAAATACTAATATTCCTTTGATTATAATTAGCTAATTAAAGTTGTAAGACATATGTGGAACTGTTATGTTAATGCTGCCCGAAATATGAAGAACATCATTTTGTATATACAGTCATACCTCGTTTTATTTATATCCCATCTTTAGTTGTATCCCCAATATGTGCTTGAATAAATTTTCCTAATATACCTTGTTTGTATCCCATTGAGTTATATCCAAATCCCCACATTTTCAAAATTCGACCACAATTTACTGTGCAACATAAAATAATTTTTTGTGATTCCAAAAAAGTTTTTAGAACAAAGTGATTTTGCTACTAAGGAAGATATTAAATATATTAATAATATAATAAAACGTTTAAATGTATCTACAGATAGAAAAAAACGTCAATCTTCAATTACTGAATTTTATGATAAAATTAAAATAATAAATAATAATAAATAAATTAAATTAAATAAATTTTAGTAATAAATTTTCAATAAATTATCACGTGATGGATTTTAGTTCTCAAAAAAAAAAGGGGATATAAACGAGGTATGACTGTAAATGAGAAAAGCCCGAGATTTTTAGGAGGGAATTCAATTGATCCACTGCTGCACATGATTGTGATAAGAAAACTTGGCAGCAATTGAATTTTCTTTTTTGTCGTCTTCAACGTGTGCACAATAATACAGTTTGTCCTCTCCAATTTAACGTAACAGGTTTATTTGTCATAAAGATATAATCTTTAAATCAACATCCTGAACATAATGTAGATCAATGGCAATGATGTTAGGTGGAGGAGGTGACGGAATCACAAAAGTAAGTGACATCCCATGATAAAAGCATCCTATTTGAATGTTGACAACGTATTTCCCAGGTTGCAGAATGATTTGATTTCCTTGACGGTCAATCGTCCTAAATCAATAAATTTGATTAATCAAATATAAATTGACTATTTATTTATTTGTACATTTATTAATTTTTAAAAGAATAAAAGTTTGATGATGATAATTACCACATTTATAAACAACTTATAATAATAATATATCCATCATATTTGACATACAATAATTACATTTGCTCATCACAATTCAAAGAAATCTTATCATCTTATACAATTCCTCATCATGTTATTACGATGATAGTGATGATGACAAAAAATCAGAATTAACACAACAACAAGCAATACTTATTCAAGCTGTCGTCACTATTCCAAATAATTCCTGCCAGCATCGCCAACACAAACACGCCCCCATTTTCTTTGCCATCATCATTATTAGAAAAATATATCGTCATCATAACGACGATAAATCATATTGATGTAAATCAATTTTATAAAAGTCCACCAACATATATTGACCAAAAATAAATCAACCATCGCCTTCAATATCTCCATCTTTTACTGTTGTAATTCCGCTGTAATTATTGATTTAATGACAACCATAAATACAACAATATCTCAAACTTCGAATAAACAACATTTATCACCGTCACTATCTCCATTATTCCTAATCCATTTTTTAATTTTAATCCAAAAAATGTAGCTTCCAAAAATTATAAATTATTAATATATTAGACGTTTCTCATCTACTCATATCTTTATATATAATCTTATCTTTATTGATTATGAATATTTTGTTGTATTAAGCATATTAATATTTAATTTAATTTCATAAAATTTGTTAAACAAATTTATTAAATAATAATCAAAAAAAATTTTTTTAATTTGATTTGATTGAATTAATATCTTCATTATATTCTATGTAAACTTTTTTGTTATAATCTGATGAATCAATCAATTATAATATTAAATTTGGATTATAGTAAAAGAGATATATTTAAATCATTATTGAGAAGCAAATTACCTGGAAGAAATACAACTATATATTTTGTTGTCCATTTATTTTTATTATTCTAAACATAAATAAACAATTAATCGATTCAATAAATGTATATATACAGTTTGTTCATATGACGCCGAAATATATAATAACATAATGTACAAAACACAAGATAATATATATACCTTCAGCATATCAATTGATCCTTTCCCGTATGAATATGGTCCTTCAACAATAAAATTTAATATTCTATGTTTAGTTCCGTTAGCCTCTACAGCATCACGAAAGCTGAAAATATTAAAATTAAAATCAAATTAAATTGATTATAAATATTATTTTATAGATAATAACTCACCGTGGAGAATGACGCCGCCTTCTTGGGTTTGACCCATGTCCACCATGTCCAGTCATAGGTAAGCCAATTAATTTTTGACACTAGAAGAAAATAAAAACAAAAATGAATTATTTTATTTATATATGTTGAGATTTTAATTTTTTTCAACATGCCTCAATATCAGCTCTAACTTTGTCCAATGCATCACCAAATACTCTTGTTGAACTTTCGGGTCCAAAAATTTCGGTATAAATATAATATATAATCACAACTTTTTTAAATAAATGATTATATTAAAATTTATAAATTTTCTATTTCTAGAAAAAAAATTTAAATAAAAAAACTCACCAAAAACACCAACTCCTACCATAATAACTCCAAGGTATGTAGTTACTTTTGTTGCTCCAACAACTATTTGAAAATCAATCTTTTAAATTATTTAATATCTTTTCTTTCTTTTTCCGCTTAATTTTACAATCAATTAGTAAACAAACCCCTACCCTTTTGTTTAAACGATAATTCATCAAATTTTTTGATTTTTCTCCTTTCTATTATATTTTCCGTTTTTCTCTTAGGATTTGAAGCCGTTACATTATGAGAGGAGGTGGTGATACGTTTGTTAACAGACTTTATTGGCGATAATCGTTTATTATATTTTTCTTTTTCAAAATGTCTTTTTAAAGAAACGTTATTACTATTATTATTAAAAATAATAGTTCGTTTATAAAACCTATGTTTCAAAGTATTTGTTAGATTAAGCGAATTTGTCGCAAATCTTATTTGTCTTGGAATTTTAAACATTTTTTTTAGAACTATTAGGTGGTGACTGAAATTTCGTCGTGTAACTAGTATAAATTTAGGAACTATCTTCAAAATTAAAAATTTTGATTGGTATTTAATGTTACACCCGCATTCACCACACTGAATTTTCTGATGATGATTTCAAAATCTTTTTATTATTATTATCTTCTTTTTTAAATACGTTCAAACAATGTGTGACTTGAAAAAAATTTTTTTTAACATAAAATAAGTTTAAATTAAGAAAATTTTATTAAATTTTTTTATTCCCCCATTAACATCAATCATAAAGGTATTACTAAATTTAAAAGGAAAAAAAAGAAACCAATATTAGTTAGTAATGATATAATTTTTAGTGCAAATATAATAAGATGATAATCGTAGTAATTTACATACCACTTTCTCTTCAGATAAACCATCTTTAAAAAATGTGAAATATGGTGTGATACCATCCTCACGATAATTCAATAATGCGATCATACCATCTTGATTAAAACTTTCACCAGTATAAAATTGATAATCTATTTAATATGTATAAAATAATATATTGGTGGTGGTTAGTGAAATATAAAAAATAAAAATATTACATCTTTTTTCTAAAATATATTTAGATCGGTCGATACCCTTAACGTTATCAATTATTTTCTTTGAGAAACTCTGAATTTTTTTTTGCCATTCCTTTATATCAATATCTGGGTTTTGTTTTTGAACATGTGCAGCAAGCTTTTTCATATATCCTTTAAGATAAGTTGTATAGGCCTTTTTGTCAAATGAAGTTTCTTGAAGCCGGAATGAATGTATAATATTATTAACTTTCATTGGTCCATCTTCAAGAGCCTCCTCTGATTCTTCGGCTGATGGGTTGGCACCAATATCAACGTCACCCTCTTTGACCGTTACCATCTATCTCATAATGATGATAATAATATAATAGTAATAATCAATATGTGGTTGTGAAATTTTAAATCTAAATTATAAATAAATATTACAATAATTATTATTATAATAAGTATCATAAAACATACTTGACAGTCTACTTCATAAGCAATTTCATCAATTATTTTAAAAGGATAAGCATCAGAAAAAAATTCATCGTCTAATTAAACATAATAGAATAATAAATAAATTAAACAAATCTAAAGAAAATATAAATATAACTTAATATGAACGGATATTTAAATGCATTACCAGAAATAATGTCTTTATAGATAATCATTTTTGTCAATAATAAGATATATATATAATAATAATATTTTTTTTTTTTTATCAAAAGAAAATTTTTTCAATGTATATACAGTTGTGTTTCCTTGTAATATATACAGTGCATATCACCTTGTCGCAGAAATTTTATTGGCCTTGCAGATCCTTTAAATGTAACACAAAAAAACTTTGCAATCAGGGCTGGCCGCGTAACCTAAATGAGAATTTGGCTAAACTGACTAAACAATTTAGTCATTATAGTCGAGACAATTATTGCCAAATTAGGTTTTTAACACCTTTACGCAGCCAGCATAATATTAACCAGGGAGGACCCCGAACAATCTTAGTAGATGGTACATTTCAATTTTGGGTAGAATCACCCTTTTTTTTTTTTGATGTATTTGAAAAGCGGGTATTGGCCTTAAATGGTACATTTGAAACTGGGTATTGACCTCATATTAAGGCTTCTATTCGTAATACAAATTCTTATTCGAATTATTCGTAATACAGTTGACCTTTAATTCGAATTAAAAAGTTTATTCGAATTAAAAATTTAATTCGCTTTATTCAAATTATTTGTTTTATTTGTTTTATTCATTATCGGAAT